TTTGATATTCGAGTTTCGGATGTATGTAGGGGTTTAGGGTTTAGGGGTATAGGGTTTAGCGTTTCAGGGTGTAGGGGTTTAGGGTTTAGGGACTCTGGGTTCAGGGGTTTTAGGGAGTTTAGGATTTAAGGGTTTAGGATTTAGGGGTTTAGGGGTTTAGGGGTATAGGGTTTAGGGTTTAGGGGTTTTGGATTTAGGCTTTAGGGGTTTAGACTACAGGGTTTAGGGGTTTAGCGGTTTAGGAGTTTAGAGGGTTTAGGGTTTAGCGCTTTATAGGGGTTAGGGGTTTAGGAGGAGAAGGGTGTAAGGGTTTAGGGTTCGATACCCTAGGGATCCATCTAATAAACGGACCTTAGCGAGCAGAATAGGGCTTTATGTTGTTTCAAACCTGGTTCTTGAAGGGATGGATCTGCAAGGGTGCTCCACTATCGTTGGAGGAGCCTTTGTAGGATACATTATGTTATAGTTACAATACGTATCTGTTCATGAAGCAGTAAAGCCTACTGCAAAACAGGATTCCTGAGCGCAAGCCACGAATGTCTGAACTCTTAATCCTCATTGAAAGAGGTGGCCCTTTATACCATGTAAGGTGCCTCCTTTCATACAGTCTCGTCAATCCCCTTGTAGAAAGAACGCATGGGTCGGGCTCAGATCCTTGCACAACGCGGAAAGGGTTAGGGTTTAGCTGGTTGTCGTTGTGGATCCAAGTTATAAGGTCGAATATCTGGGCCGGACTTTATGAAACTAAGCTTTTTGGTGTACGTTACAATCTATGGTGACAATGGTAAATCCTGAATGAGAAGCAAATTTTCGTTTCAGAAGGGTGTTCTACCAATGCAATATTGTAGATTTGTAGAGGCCTAAAGTCTGGATCTCTAAACGGCATTCTATGAACCTTTAAACCACCGATTTCTGAACCGTATATGTCGAAGGTTTAGTAGATTTAGCCCCAGATCCGAAGCCATGGACTTATCCTCAACTCCCATTAACCGATAACCGTATCAACAGCCATACAGGTGTAGAATCATCATATACAGCCCAGCCTTACTACAGTTCTTAAGGGCCCTGTTTATGCCTCTCCACTTCAAGTAGGGCTGACTTCAGTTCCCTCCGACTCCGAGGCACGATGTACAACCGCAAGAAGGCCGGACAATCTTGGGGAGCGAAAGACAGGTTTCTTTACATCTTGTTCCCTAAACCCTAAACCCTAAACCCAAGAAGCAACCTGAATATCTAAACTCTGAAACTCGACTCGAGACCCTAAAGCCCAAGACCGTACACCTCCTGCAGGACAGCAAGGCGGTTCGCTGGCAGGGAAGCACCGATGAGGAGACGGGAAGGTATTTCTGCTGTTCTTATGGTGACTCCTATGATGTGTTGTGAGAGTTTTCAGGGGTTCGGGTTCTTCAAGCTTCTCACGAGTCTGGAAATTGAGGCATTCAGGCGGGAGAGCTTAAAGGTTTAAGCGCCCTGTTGTTTTCACAGTGTAATGTTCTTATCCCAATTAGGTCAGGGTGCAGGCTTTACTCTGGCGCTGAGTACAGATGCAAGGATTTGAGGATCAAGCCTTAAAGCCAACGTCTTCGGAGTTGGGGACTGTTCTGGGCGTTGGGGTTCGGAGATGTGTGGTTCCAAACTACTCTCCCCCGAGTTTCCCAAATCCGAATCTCCGAAAAGCAATGTCAGGGGTCTAGTATTTAGTGGTATTCGTGCTAGCTGCGATTAGCTCATGCATGGGACAGCATGATGTGTGCCTGGGTTTTAAGGGCTTCGGTGTCTCCAGTGCCGCTGAAAGGCTGCAGAATTCCCATCGAACCTGTATAAACCTTTAGAGCGTCATACGGGAGTTTCAGAAGATAGGGGACCCTAATAATATAGTACCCTAAATGGAAGGATCTCTATTAAAAGGACCCCCAAATAAGGTACCCCTAATTTTCGGAAACTCCCATACTGCCTTATAGCCCCACACAACACCTTACCACCATACAAACGAGCCAGCTAACATGTAAGATCGTATTCCACTTTTCTTCCTGCTGGAGGAGTGCTGTGAGCCCCGGAATTGCAAAGACTACACCACGCAGGCCGCAGGGCCTTTCGCAGCTCCAAGGGGATGAAGTTTCGGGACCCGGAGGGCTGTAGGCCCTTGGTTTCCTAAACCCATAAGCAACCGTAAGCCTCCTCAGCCCAAAAGCCCCAAGTAACCCCGGCCTGAACCTCACATCGTAGTTGCAAGGCACGCTCCTCCAAGATTCAACCGAGGTTGGGACATGGTACAGGTAACTGCAGAACTAGCTACGGATCACAGCAACCGAAGTGCTTGCAGCTTCATTCCGATCTTTATTTTGAAAGCTTTTCCGCGTGGTCTGGCATTTTAGGGCTCCGGGTTGTGGGGGTTGGTTGCCGCGAGCTGGGCGAGGGCTGGCGATATTGCTGCGGTCGAATCGGCACTTCTAAAGGGTATATCTATCAAAGACGGGTGAAGACATACGGTCCGCCAGCGGTTTCAAGCTTTGTCGCCTTATGTATTTTGAACAGCCTATGACCATAGGAGGAATAAAAGGTCACCCAGAAGACACAATGCAATGTTATCAGAGATACCTCTTGCATGTTCCTACAAGAGCACGAAGGTATGTGGCCACTTTGACCGGAGTAGCTCAGCTCGTTCACCGCAAGAGTCTCTACGGTAAAGAAAAGACTCGAGGGGAAAGTAGTCTCTGGCGAGCGTCTGGTAGATTCAAAGGGAAAAAGGAGGGACCCTTACTGGGGACCCTACCCTATAATGGGCTATATAATTGGCAGACAATAGCTATATTAAGGGTATATACCTAGGGGTCCTTATTAAGGGTCCCTCCTTTTACCCCTGGATAGATGGAGGGTTGGGAGTTCGGCCGGTGGAGCCCACCCCGAAGCTCAACTTCATGACTCCAACCAAGTCCTGACTTCCGAAGCCCGAATCCATACCTCCTGAGCCACGAGAGCCCGAAACTACAGGCCACTAAGGGTTCATCCGAAACATGAGCCCGAAACCCCTGAAACCATAAACTCGGCAGACCCTAAACTAAGCCCTAGACCTTAAAGCCAAACCCTCCTGGACCCCATAAGCCCTAGACTGTAAACGCCATACACCAAAGCCCCAAACAATGGCGCTGAACCCTCCAAAGCCCCCAGCCCCATACCCGAAACCCGAACCCTAAACCCTAAAAAAGGAAAGTCCCGACACCCTGCCTCCACCCACCTCTGCCCAAGCCTCTGCACCTCCGCCAGTTTCCAACGAAGTGGACTCGGAAAGCTGCCAAGGCTGGTGCTTTTTTGCATTTTGGTTTTAGAGGTGTAGGCAGGGTTTAGGGGTTAAGGATTAGGGTTTAGGGTTCAGGGGTTAGGGAAAACCCCCTGTCGGGTTGAGAGATTACGGGTTTCTAGACGGTTTCGGTAACATGGGGTTCGTTTATGGTGTCGGGAGCTTGTCAGGGTTAAGGTTTAGGACCTTCGAGATGGTTTCCTACCATGGTTTGCGGCTGGAGTCTGCTTATAGGCAACCCTAATCCTGAACCCCAGCATAGATTTTATTTGGTAGCACCACCTGACAGGGAAAAAGCCAAGTTTTTTTGCAGGGGCAATGAGGACTGCGACGTAACGAATCCCCTGGCCCGGCTGCATCTAGTCTAAGTCTGGGCTGGTTTCCTACGTATAATAGCGAAGAGATGTCAGATGAAACCATAAGCCTGAAGACTCAAACTTAAACCCTGCGCCACAAACCTCGCATGAGCTTATGAAGTCTGGCAAGGGGCTTCCAGATTTGGGGGTCTTTATAGGGCCGTTCAAGCATGTGTGGATCCGATAACCTGCTGTCTTAGGGCCTGTAGTTATTGTGGGTTCTTCTTTGTAACTGTCGGGCTATCGGGATCCGAGCTTGCTGTGTCGTGGGGCTTGGGGCTGCAGGTTTGTGGTAGTAGTTCTCGTTTTCTGGTCCCTTTTGCAGGTACCAAACTAGTACGGCGTCCTTAGAAAAGGTAACTTAGAGAACTACGTGCTAAAGAATTAGACCCGAGTCGAAAACCTCCAGACAAACAGCCCGTGATACGCAGCGTCCGACCCCAAGGAGCCGTCTGCTTTGATTTGATACGGCATCATCAAGCCGTATCCTGCAAATCATACCAAGAGTCCTAAGACATGTATCGGGGATTCCATAACCTTCCTTAATTAGGTGGCACCAAAGAATTTACGTTGAAATGGTCAGCTAGCATGGAGTGTCCACAGAAAAGCGCGACACCAGAGGGAATCACAACAACCACTTAATTGAGAGCACAGCTCTAAAGCGAGTGAGATGTAGTGGTTAGGGTGAAGGCGGGCTCAACATGCCTAGAATTGTGGTTTCCGGCTGTATGACTAAAGGTCTTTCTGGCTTCTTTTTCAGTAGTTTCATACAGAAATGCTTCGTCTTCCCTCACACCTCACACCAGTGCCTGGACCCTGAAACACTGAACGCGACGCATGATACGTTGAACCATTTAGATCGGGCTGTTGAGTGGGTGTTTTTGACATTGGGCGTCCCTATCCAGGGGGTGCTCATACAGTGATTATCTTGCTCATGTATGGTCTATCTTGGGTTCCTCTCGGAGCGAGTGGCGGTTCTCAGGAAAGCCGGCCCGGAGGGAGCACAGACTAATTACGTTTGTGGAGGGGGATCCTCCACGGGAGATTGGAATATAGCTTCCAGCACTGAGTGTGGTGTCCCTCGATGGGCCAGCACCTTTTCCAGAGAGGCGCTCAAAAGAACCGTCGTTCCGCCACAAGAGGGGGCGCCACCGCCTTCTGCGTCGAGCGCTACGACGACCTCGCCGGCGACGTGAAGCTCAGGGACGTGGCCAACTTCGACGACTGGACGGTAACCATCCCCGGGTTCGGGTGCTAGGAGGCTTCGAAGCTCTGGACGATGTCAGAGCAGACAGGGTTACGGGATGAGTCCCGCCTTCGGCGAAGGTAGGGATACCAGGCTAAATACACCCTAAAGCTCATAAACCCCAAAGCCCCAAACCGTAAGTACTCTAAACCCCAAAGCCCCACACCCTAGTTAAACCCTGAGCCTCATAAACCCTAAGCCCCAAACCCTAAATAGACCCTAAACTAAACCTCATAAACCCCTAAGCCCCAAACCCTAAGAACCCTAAACCCCCGAAGCCCCAAACCGTAAGTACCCCAAACCCAAACCCCAAAGCCCCAAACCGTAAGTACCCTAAATTACTAAACCCAAAAGCCCGAGGATCTCTAAAGCCCGAGCCAGGACGACGAGCCTCAGCTGGGGAGCACGGATGCTGAGTGCTACGCCAGGGACCCAGTGTTCTGCTCAAGTCTTGGGAAAAAGGCCTAAGGTTTCTGCGTAGGGGCTTTAGGGCTCAGAGTTTAAGGCTTGAGGTTTCTAAGTTGGGATTTTAGGGTTTCGCTGTTGGGGGTTCAGAGTTTAAGGACTGAGGTTTTGGGGTTGGAGAGCTTTGGGACGAGGGTTGATGGGGGTCCAGGGCTCAGGCTTGTGACCTTGGGGATTTGGGATTTCAGCTCTGCCTGGATGCCTTGCTTTAAGCGAACATGGGACTCGCAATCGACAAGCCTCAACTTTGGGCTGCAGAGGTCGGGGCTGCGAAGTTTAGTAGCTATGAGGCTGATGCTTCGAGGTCTAGGTGTCTAAGTTGCAAGTTTCAGAGTGGAGGGTTCCGGGTTGAGAGTTTTAGGGTTTAGAATTTGCGGTCTCAGGATGGGTTTTAGGGTTCAGGGTGTATAGGAATCCAAGCTTCAGAGTTTACGGTTTTCGTTTCGATCGTTTGAGGTAGCAGGCTTTAGAGCTTCTTTGGTCCTTCCAACTCCGTTCCGCAGCACTCCCAGAAAGGAGCATCAGTGGTCACAACAACAGTTTATTGCATGCGACGCTAGCTGCATAGTGTAGTCTTGCCTCACTGTTTAGGGAATAAGCCCATGGAAAACCCTCCATTTCGTCCCAATTAATCGAATTCCTCAACCCTAAATCCTAAAGCCTGTCTTGACAAGCCCCCCCCACCCACCCTATGTACAACAGGCTTACATCCACCCGTGGCGCTGCATCAAAAAAGGATTTACTTGAAGGCTCATGGGACTTAGTAAGTAAGCTTATAAGTAGGTCATAATTATGGTAACCCCAGTTAGGGGACTTATAACTCCAATTATAACCTACTTACTAAGTCCCGTGATCCTCTAAGTAAGCTTTACACTTACACCAAATCTTACGAAGCCAGCGCTGGGATGAAACTCCCGAGGAACCGCTGCTTTGCAAGGACTTCTGTGGCCGAAGCCTCGGATGTGCACAGGATTTGGGGTTTGGGGGTTAGGGGGGAAAGCCCGGACCGACTTGGCCCCACTCGGACGATCTCAACCCCAAACCCGAAACCCAGACCTGCCCAAAACCACAAACTCCAAACCAACCTCAAACCCAAAATTCCAAAGCTTCCAGCAGCAGCGGACCTTTCTTTTCCTTCCCAAACCCCAAACCTCGAACTCTCTTCACCCAACCCAACCCGGGACCGGACTTTCTTTGAACCCCAAACAGCGCTTAGGGTTTGGGGGTTTAGGGTTTGGGGGTTTTGGGTTTAGGGGTTTAGGGTTTAGGGGTTTAGGGTTTAGGGTTTGCGGGTTTAGGGTTTAGGGGTTTAGGGGTTTAGGGTTTGTGGTGTAGGGTTTAGAGTTCAGGGGTTTAGGTTTTAGGGTTCCTTAAACTCTCTGGTTCTTAGTAGGAAATGGGGGAATGGGTTGGTTAAGGGCTACTAAGTGGGGGACTATCATAGGGAGGGCCAGGGAGTAAAGTATACCGCAGATTAACAAACAGACTTTCATTAAGGGCCTCAACATTTTGCTCCCTACGCAAATCCTTACGAAGGCGGGAGGTGGATTACCGCATTAATCAGGGGTCGACATTAAAGCTTGTCTTGTGGGTTCTTAAGTGGTTCAAGGGTTCTCCAATGGATCTAGCAGGGATTCTCAAGGGTTCGTTAACCCACTGGAATTGTTGGGGCGTTCCTAGGGTTTCTTCTTTAACAGGCACAGTTTGTGATTATCGAGTTCAGGTTTTCGTGGTCCTTGCCCGAAGTGTTCCAATTGCCCAAGTAGTAGTAGCAGTAGTAGTAGTAGTAGTAGTAGTAGTAGTAGTAGGGTTTAGGCGCCACAAACCAGTCAGAGTATAAGTTACTTGGGAACCAGAACCCTATTGCTGAAGCTTTCCCAGGAATCTCAACGAGGGCTCCATCGGAGTACAGCATGATGGTGTGATATCCTCCGAAGCCCTGCAGCCCTGAACCCAGCAACTTTCAGCTACAGCAGGGAGAACGACCGGAAAGAAGCTGCTCGAAAAGATTCCGCAACACTGCGGGGACGACCTAGTTTTTCCGCCTCGCTTTCTGTTAAGAATCGAATACGTACCGATGAGACTTCATTTCAGACCACCGCATCAAGCCTGCAATCCAATATCGATTCTGTTCGCGAAGACCTTGGGCCCTACGTCCCCAGAGCTGCAAGCCACTTGCAACCCTAAGCCCCCGAAGCCCTGACCCCTAACTAAACTTCCTGAACCCTGTAAAGCCTCAAACACTCTAGAAAATCAAACTTTAAGCTTAAAAACTTCGAATTTGCTGCTACTCAACAGTGGCCGGTGAAGCATTTCTCGAATCAATTTCTCGAAACCCTTCAAACAAGCGATAAAGCCCTACAGAACCTCACACCGGAGGCTGCAAAGATGCCAAGAAACAGCTGATCAAAAACGCCGCTGCCACGCAGGGCTCCAGCGTCGAGGAGCTTGTGGGCTTTAAGGGCTTCATAGAGGTTCTATAAGGGTTCATGAAGGTTCTATAGGGTCCCGAAAAAGGGTTCTACAAGGCTTTCCGAGAGGTTCTTTGAGGGACTCCGGATGGCTTTAAGAGTCAGTTCTGGGGTGTGGGGCTTACTTAAAGGATCATGGGACTTAGTAATTACGGTTATTATTAAGGTAACTATACTTACAACCCCACTTAAGGTACTTATAACCATACTTACTAAGTCCCATGATCCTCCAAGTAGGGCGTTGACATTGAGGGTTTAGGCTTTAGGGTTTGGGGTTTGGGTGTATACGGCACATAGGGCCGTCAGAAGACGACACTCGCATGACCTGGTTTCTTGAAACCTTCTGGTAGGCGCCCGGCTTGTCACCGAAACCCAAACCCTAAGCAGGATACAAATGCTCGGATCTGCCACCCACGGACCCACATCAAAGAGACCTAACCCTTCCTGTAGCCCTGAATGCAGAAACCTCGCAATGGTTTCGTCGCTAGTTTGTTAACAGGCCGGCTACAGGTAGTGTTGAAAACTCGCGTCAATAGTGTCTGTGGTAAACTCAAATCCCCTCTCATGTAGAAGCCTTGACATGTAGGAGAGGGTCGTTTCATGGCATGTCGTAATCAAGATAGTCGTGGAAGGTTTTGTGCCATGACCTACAAAATCTGCTGAATCATGGTCGGGAGCCCGCCGGAACGACATTAACTACTCATGTTTTGAGTTCTACACTGATCCCTAACCCCCCCACAGGCGCGAGGTTTCTGCCTATGGACCCTGTGACATGTCGGAAACCTCAAACCAAGACAGTTCAAGCTTCTGAGCATTGAAGGCCCAGGGTCAACTAGCCTAAAGTTCTTGAACCCTAACCCCTGTTCTATTGAGGGGCCCTAGACACCTAAACTACTAAACCCCTCAACCCAAACCTCTGCAATCAATGCAACAAACCTCAAACCTAAACTCGACCCCACGCCCTGAATCGCGAGGCCTTGGCATTAGGGGTTGGGTTCAACCCATCACACCTCCCATGTACGCCCTCGAACCTGCACAAACTACAGTGCAAGAGCTCCACACAAGCGCCCGAACATAAGCATTCTAGAATGAGGACTCTGAGTGATCACTGAACAAGCCTTCGCGTTTAGGGTTTGGGTTGGGTTTGAGGTCTTGGGGCTTGGTGATTTGAGTTTGGAGTTCGGTTTAGGAAGGTCCTTACCAACCCAACCTACCTCCTACGGATCCTTCAAAGACTCCTTCAGTATCCCTTAACCCAGTCTTAAAGCACTATTCAAGAGCCCTTAAAGAACCTCTCAAGACCCCTCCAGGGCCTTAAAGACACCCCTATACTCATAGACCAATAACCAGAGGCCCCTTCCTCTTTGGGATTACCTTATAGGATTCCATGTATGAACCCCCAAAAACGAACTACTTTGGGGCCTTTGGGTAACCATAGGAATAGTAACCTACATAGCTACGATCCTAAACCCAAGTACCCTATTATTGCGTCCTCAGGACCCCTTAGGGATAGGATTCCACAGGGCTAAAATGCAAGGGTACAAGGACGGACCCTTAACAAGCACCCCTAGGTATATGCCCTTAATATAGCTATTATATACCCATTGTATAGCCCATTATAGGGTAGGGGTCCCCATTAAGGGTCCCTCCTTTTCCCCTAAACCCCCTAAACCCCCAAACCTCTAAACCCTAAACCCTATAGCATCCCTATAGATCCCTTTAAAGAAGGAGCCCTAATCCCCATTAAGGGTCCCTCCTTTTCCCCTTTGATAAAAGCGACCCCAAGCGCCGTTTCGACTCGCGCGGAGGAGTGCTGCGAGGCCGTGCCGGAGGAAGCGGCCCAGTGAGGCGAAGAAAAAGGGGGGGGTACCTATAGTCTCCATTGTAGTTCCTTTTTTTGGTTAACCGATTTTATGGTTGGGATCCTGTAATAGGGTTTTGGGTTAACCAAAAAAGGAACTACAATGGAGACTATAGGTAGGGGCCACGGTTTAGGGTTTAGGGGTTTGAGGGTTTGGGGTTTAGGGATTAGGGTTTAGGGGTTTAGGCGTTTGGGGTTTAGGGGTTTGGGGGTTTAGGGGTTTAGGCCTTTGAGGTTTAGGGATTAGGGTTTTAAGGGTTAGGGTTTTCAGGGTTTAGCGTCGAGTTGTTTACAGGGTTGAGGGCTTCGGGGAGGTCTGGAGGATATGAGTTTGTTGTTGAATGCATCGGTTGTGGAAGACGTCTGGTGCTTTTGGTATTGTTGGGGTCTTTCTTGAAGCTAGGGTTCCGAGCTTAGGAGTTTAACGTGGCCTGATCATGCCCCTTGCAGTAAGGTTGTACAGTGGAAGCTATTTTTTGTTCACGCGCGTCCATTCGGGTATGCTAGACAGGGATCTGTTTGTTTAATTTGTTGTGTGTGGCAGATGTTTACCCGAAGCGCAAAACCCAAGTTCCAAGATTATGAATCCACAAGCCTTGTTATAGAACCCTAAAAATAACCAGAAATAACCCCAAACCCGAAGCCCTCAACCCCATCTTGGCGATTCTAGGGTTTCCTAAGCCCTAAGCCCTAAACTCTAAACACAGCCCCTGTGGAGCCCATAGAGAACTAGGATGCCCAGTAGTATCCTGATTCCCTTTTTGTAGTCCTAGGCTCCTTATAAAGTTACCCAATACCAGAACGGAAGAATGCTGAAGGGGGCGGGGTCTCGTAAAAGGATCCGGGAACCCGAGACTTTGCCGCCTCCATAAACCGCCGGAAAGCCCTCTAAGTTTGTCAACACATAGCTACCGTAACGATTAGAACGAGGCTTTCGGGTACATTCTGGGATACTTACATTGGCCATGTAAGGGGTGATACCGTTGCTCGCCTTGCAGGTTGCAGACCTTTAGCCTTCCTTCAACCCAACAACCTGAAACCCAACACCCCAACTCTAGACCCAAACGTTGAGCCCTAAACCCTCAAACCCTGCAAGCAGAGCAGCCCCAGCTTACCGATCTAAAGAACGAAGGACTTTGGATGTTCTCTACAAGCTCCCATCGTGACTTCTTTGGGTTTAGGGTCTTGTTTGGGTCCATGGCCCCATTGACAAGATCCGACTCTAGCTTACCTAGTATAGGGCCTTCATATTATAATAGTTACCAAGACTATGTTGGGGGGGGGGGGCCCTTATTATATTTCTAGTATAATGTTCCCAAAACCCTATTCTAACTATGAAGGCCCCTGTATTACCCTGAACCATCGAACTAGGCCACAAGTTTCCCGGTATGGATCCTGCCTACAGGACCTAAGCCAAAGCTTCGTTGCCTACCTCAATCCCACAGTCCCTAGCGTCTATTGTTTTGAGTTTTAGGGTTTAGGGTTAAGCTCTATAATCTCCATGGCCGCATGAGTGCCACAGTCTTGGCCCCCACAACTGAGCCAAAGCATAAACTCTAAAACAAACTAAATCGACTATCTTTAAGCCTCTGTAAACTCTAACCCCTGTAGCCCTTAACCCGAAGCCTGTCGCCTAAGCCCTTAAAAACAACCCTAAATTTAAACTCCTAAACCCTAAAGCCCTAAAGCTCTAAAACCCAATACCTCAACCCAAAACTCCTAAACCCTAAAGCTCTAAAGCCCTAAACCATCATAAACTCATCTAAACTCAACACCTTAAAGTAAAAGCCAGAAAGTTGGAATATCATTATTCTAAACCCTTTATGGTAAATTATAAGGTATCCTACCCTGAAACCATATTCCAACTTTCTGGGGTTGCCTTTAACCGCGGAGGGCCTCCGTGATGGTCGGCGACACGTAGACCGCGCGACGTCTGAAGCGACTGTTTTCGGCGAAAAAGCTGCGTGTAAGGGTTCTCCTCTGGGTTTAGGGTTGTAGGGTTTAGGGTTTTTTTAGGGTTTAGGGTCTAGGACTATATAAGATATAAGTGTTTTGTTCTTAAGATTTCTTAAGGTTCGGGATTTAGGGCTGGAACAAACGGGTTTCCAGAAGGGTTTCTTGGATCCGGTTTCGCTTCGCGGCTTCGGGTCTTGTTAGCCTTCCGAAGTGGGATTATGGGGTCTTATTGAGGATCCCTTGTATTTTTTGGGGGTTTTGGACGGTTTTGAGCGTGGGAGTTTTGGTGGTTAGAGTGTACGCTTTCGGATTCCATGCTTGTCTTGTGTTGTCTAATCTAGAAAGGCCGTCCAAGAGTTCTCTAAGGTTACTGGGGCATCTACAAAGGTCGAGGGTTGTAGGGGTATATAGGCTCCGGCGAAATTTAGGGCGCAGAGACTGACCGAGCGTGCCTGAGGTTAGATGCAAAGTTGCTGTAAGTATGCTTGATTTATCGAGTTCGTACAATCTCGTCTAACAAGGCTAAATGAGCAAGGTTTCCAGGGCCCTACGTTCAAGACGCTTCGGTTGATGCAGTGAGGCTCGTATTCAAAGTCCGTTCAGCCTGCGTAGGAGGCCTGCATCGTAAAGTCAGGCGGGAACGCAGAAGAACTGGGAGGTGTCCGCCTGGCATACGGTGCCTCAGTCAGAAGCACTTGAGCCCCTTGACGTCCTAAGGCAACCTAACAAGCCAGAGGCCCTGAAGCCATACACCCTGAATCCACCAGCACCGCTATATCCCGGAGCAGACGGAGTTGAGGTAGGCTGTTTTTGCAGCATCAACAAAGAGCATTCGTTGGCTTCGGCTCCTGTTTGCCACCTCGAGCCCAAAGCCTGAATCTTCGACGCTGGAAGTCCAGCCAGGCGCCCCGAAGTGATGGGGATTCATGACCCGTCCGCCTGGCGTCCGTTGAGCTCTTGGGTCCTTCTGGTCAGTTACCGTGCTTCCCGGGCATCAGGGTTTAGGGTTTAGGATCGAGCTTACTTGAGAGGGCTGACTAACTATCCTCTGATGGTTCTAGTTCTGCTACAACAAGATCGCAGAACATACCCCAGAACTCTATTCTCATTTTCAAGGCCATACATTACTGGGTCCTAGGGTTTCCGGTGCGCATCGTGAAGGGTTCTGGAGGGGTTTGACTTTCTTCTTTTTGGAGGGGCTCCTGTTTCGGCAGAGTCACGACTCGTCGCGGACTGGTACGTATGGTAGTCCTCGCATCGTGGCTCGTTGGGAGCCCTTAGCGAAAATCCCAGCCTCAAAACCTACAGACCCTAAACTCTAAACCCTAGAAATCTTAAGCACCAAGCCCTAAGCCCCTGAACCGTTGCATCTGGACATGCCGCTGGCCAGTCGGGCTTGGACGCCGAACATGTCAATTAGCCACTGCATGCTGCTGGCACTTCACGTCTCAGGGGCTGCTTTTCATGATCTAGGGGCTCTGAGATTCTGGGGTTGAGGGTTTAAAGTCCTGAGAATCTGGGGTTGAGGGTTTAAGGTTCGGGTTTTCGGGCCAGAACTTAGCTTGAGACTTCACGGAAGTGGGAGTTCTGACTCTGCGCCAGGGGGGAGTAGGGGGGGGGTAGCTGAATTTCAAGCTATGGAGCCCTCCAGACAGGACACGACCTAAAGAGCCATGTACACAAAACCCCATATGCACAAACCCTAAACCCTAAACCCTAAACCCTCGAAAAGCCATGTAAGACTCTGTGCAATGCCTCCCGCTGAAGAGCAGCTTCAAGCCATGAAAGAGCTAGTCCGAATACGGATGCAACATGAAGCTGGGTTCCTTACAGTTATGTAGGTGCAAACAGACATTCAGTTTGTTGGGCTTAGACATCAGAATCCCATAATTTAGGGTACTTGGACCCTGTAGGGTTAATCCAACCCTGCTTCACTTGCTCTTGCATGACCCAGAGGAGAGGGAAACCAAGACGGCTCGTTTCTTCACAGCTGTGGTTTCGTTTACTTAGGGTTGCGTTTTACTTCGTCGGGCTTTGGGTTTGGAGTCTTGGATACATATAGTAGGGTTTAAGACGGTTTAAAACAATAACAATAATAATAACAATAATGATAATTATAATGATAATAAGCCTTAGGTACAGGGTTTCGGATGCACAGGGGCTTGCCACTGGGCAGCTTGTTATTTAACGCCATGTTGGCCCCCATAGTCTTCCGGGTCGTACGGCCGTGTAGCAATTAGAGGGCCCTTCGGTATTCCCCCCTTCCCAGAACCCCGTAAAGGGGATGGTGGGTTCCGATGCAATCCCATAAGGGACGTGCATCTGCATTGTTGGAGATGTAGGACTTGGGGTCAACGGGTGCCTGTGCAATATCGGAGAAAAGCCCATGATGGTCATATGAGTCGATGAGTTCAGATTCGTCATTGTAAGGCCCTCGAATTGTAGTACAGTGACAGATGTTGTTGACATCCTGTCCGTGATGAGTGGCGCCGCTTTCCTTTCCTCTGGGATTCGGCACGTGGAAGATTGCAGAATTGCAGCTTCCTTCGATTCGGGGCTTTTCCAGAGACTCCAACATCTTTTAGTTGCAGAATGTACCCAAAGCATACCAGGGATTCCACAACTTAGTGAAGGAGTTGTGGAAGCTATGGGTTTCTACTTGAAGGTTCATGGCTATGCTTGAGGTTTGGGGATTTGTTGTATCGGCCGGGATCAAGATTCATGGGTGCATGTCAGCCCAGTGCCCCAAACCCTAAGCCTGAAGTTACCCTGGACGAAAAACTTGGGTTTAGGGTTTAGGGTTTAGGGTTTAGTATCCCAAATATGAGGTCATCTAAACCCAGGAGCGATGCATAAGAAGGAGCAGCAGTCTCTCCAAGGGTAAAAGGAGGGATTCTAATAAGGACCCTTGGGTATATACCCTTGATATAGCTATTATATACCCATTATATAGCCCATTATAGGGTAGGGGTCCCCATTGAGGGTCCCTCCGTTTCCCCTTTGATTAAGCTAAACCCTAAACCCTATAGATCCCTTTAAAGGGACCCTTATAGATCCCTTTAAAGGAACCCTAATCCCCAGTAAGGGTCCCTCCTTTTCCCCTTTGAGTCTCAGAAGCCATGCGAAGTTCAGTTCAGCATCCCCGACTCACCACTCGAGCAGATGTCTATGTGAGAATCACCAGGAATCTCACCCTGGCTCTAGCCTAAGGCCCCAAAGTAGTTCCTTTTTGGGGTTCATATATAGAATCCTATTAGGTATTCTTAAAAAGGAACTACTTTGGGGCCTATGGGTAGCAGACCCTTAACGCGTTGGGGTTCGGGCTTCTGAACCCTAAACCTGGATCCCAAACGCAGTAGATGGTTCTAGAATAAGCCGAATCCCTAACCTTAAAGCTTCCTGCAAGTACCTGTCCTTTCCTGGAAGGGTCCTAAAAAGGTGCCATATCGACCTGAGCAGCTGCACCTTAAGGTGCTCAGACTGTGGCGGTGCCCTCAAGGAGCACCCATCACCCATCCGATCAAGTCAAACAAAAAAGTCGCCCAAAAGATCGATTGCAGTTTCAGGCTATGGTTGTCCAGGATTCAGGGTTTGGGGTTTGGGTTCGGATTTTGTTTGGCGATACTTAAAGGTTAATGATTTGTTGTATGTCTCCGTTTGGTTGCATTCTTGTGGTCGAAGATACTTGGAGCGACCCCCACCTGTAGTCCATTCGGGGCTCTGAAGGCAATCGCCCATGATCCTGCCTGACCGTACACTCGGGCTTGAGACTCAGAGTTTACGGTTCAAGGTTTCGGCTTTAGCGCTTTGCAGGTTCAGTGTTTTGTAGGGTTTAGATGGGTATAACTCAGGTTCAGTGAGGGTTGGGGCTAGATGCTTTTGCGTTTACGCCTGTAAGAAGTTTCGCGCCCTTAGCCTAGCAAACTTATCAAGCCCCTGCGACCATACAGGACGTACGCGGAATCTTGTGAAGCAGTTGAAGTCTAGAATCTGTAGAGCTCTGCGAAGTCTTTCAGAAAAAACCATCAAACCTTCACAAAGCCTGAGAAGCCTCTGGAGCCTTCTAGAACCCAAAGGGTCCTAGGTACTGATATGGGGACTACTTCCCAAATTCACAATAATAATTCTTAATGTAGAAACCCTACATTCTACTGTATTGGTACTTTGGACCCTTTGGGGAAGGAACTCAGGAGCGAAAAAGCAAAGTCCCTTCTGGCTTGTAACAGACCATGAATCGTAAACCCCTCACCCTAAATGCTGCGAGCTGCCGGGGGGGGGGGAGGGGGGAAGAGTACAGGCGCGAAAAGTTCCTACCTCCAGCCCTCACCCTAAGCCCAAAACGAATAACACATATCTCCCCCGTAAACCCTAAACCCTAAACCCCCTCTTCCATCTTTCCAGCTTTCCCAAAGGGTCCAAGTATCATTATGGTATATACTTAGACCCCCAAAATACCCTATAAGTACATACCATAATGATACTAAACCCAAAACGAATAACACATATCTCCCCCCTAAACCCGAAACCCTAAACCCCCTCTTCCATCATACTTAGACCCCCAAAATACCCTACAAGTATATACCGTAATGACACTTCCACCCTTTGGGAATTTCTGCAGGCAGTAAATCCCTAAACCCTAAACCACCCCTTTCAAGACGCGGAGTGCAGACTGAAAAAGGGCCCTTAAAAACAAAAAAAATCTTCCATCTTTTCTGCAGGCAGTACTTCTCTCGGACTCGGTTCCTGCTTGCTACCGAGATCCGGTCCTCGTGGTGCTGGAGGCGTGACGGAAGTGATTTAAAGGGATCTATAAGGGTTCTAGGTTCCCTTTAAAGGGAGCCTATAAGGGATAGGGTTCCCTTTAAAGGGATCTATAAGGGTTCTACAACCCCTTTAAAGGGATCTATAAGGGTTCTATAATGATAGGGTTCCCTTTAAAGGGATCTATAAGGGTTCTAGGTTCCCTTTAAAGGAGTCTATAAGGGTTCTATAAGGGTTCCCTTTTAAAGGGATCTATACCTTAAGCCGGAATAACCTACAAGAGGGGGGCGGGGGGGTGCGTACAACTATTTCTTACTAGAGCCGTGCTGTCGTGCATGAAGAAGGCATGGGCCTCAGCGCTGTTGCTGCCCCGAGATCTGCAACCTTGCCCGGTGTAATGATATCCCCTAGCAACCCTATAGTATGTATATACGAAAATGCGCCCCAAAGGCATGTTCTGAATATTCATTGCGCTGAATCCATCACTCCAGCCACACCGAAGATACCCAAATCCCGGCACCTAAGGGAACAAGGCGAAGTCTTATCGTAGGTTATATCATATTCTACTATCTGATCCTACTCTGACTGAGTGTAGGGAAGGGAAGAGAGCAACAGGCCCACTTAGTGGGCATCCTAGTTGACCTGGTCGTGGAACGCAACTCAGACCCTCAACGGCAGGATCCAACCAATAAGGAACCCGAGCTAAAGTAGCCTGCCTTATAGGAAACTCCAGAAAGTTGGAATATGGTTTCATGGTAGGATACCCTATAATTTGCCATAGAAGGGTTAGGATAATCATATTCCAACTTTCTGGCTTTTACCTTAACACCCCTAAAAGCCCTTGTTAAGCTGCTGTGCACACTCGTTTTAAGCCTTTGCAAAGCCTGTATACAGCCCTTCACAGCCCTGCACAACCTCAGGGCGATCTCCTTGCACCTCGAAGATATCTGCGGAAGCAGCTGGCAGGCCTTTTGTGCTCAGGACAGTAGGGTAACTGTACTTTAATCGTTTAGAAAGTTTAGGATACTAACAGCTTATGACCCTACTTAGAACTATATACCCAGGAGACTTCCATTGTTCGGCTAGGCTGCAGGCCATTATTCACTTCGCTAAGGTCATGGTCACATTTTGGGGCTTGGGATGTTAAGGGTTTCCGCCCTCACCGCCAAAGGGCAGACCTGCTTTCTTCGTTCAAAGCATCGGGTTGTTGGTATATACCCTGACGTCCGCAGAACTATCCCGTAGCGTACGAGAACCACTACCGCCACGGCCGCGCAAACGGTGTAACGTGGATGCCTGAAGTGTGGTTGGGGGAATACTTATATCGATTGAAAATGCGTGAAGCCAATCATTCGTATCCGTTGCAGAAGTTTGCCAGTTTATCACTGTTGGTAGGCGAGCGGTAGGGAAGTATGGGCCATGCAGGGTCTGAAGGTCGAGCTAAAAGTCAGAGGCCCCACTAAGTGGTTCACGAGGTCATCAGGTTTATACATGGGTGGTTGTCAAAATTAGGGTCCCTCTTTGGGTCCTTATTATAGTACGGCACCCATTATCTAGCCAAAAAGGGGCCATAATTTTGACAACTCCCCACATGAGCTTGCAGCTTGTGCAGGCCTTGATACCCAGATCGAGATGATCGCGACACCAGAAGGTGCCCCGTAATTGAAGAGTACACTCCTACTTGAAGGCTCGTGGGACTTAGTAAGTAGGGTTATAAGTAAGTTATAATTAGGGTAACCCCAGTTAGGGGACTTATAACCCCGGTTATAACCTACTTACTAAGTCCCATGATCCTCTAAGTACCTTGAACTATGGTTGGATCCTTAAGGTAGTCCAAGAGGGCCTTTGGGCTTTGTTGTGTTAGGGGTTCAGGGTGAGGGATTCAGGCTAGAACTCGTAGTCATGGATCCTAAAAGCCACCTCCTTCAATCACACAAGACGGCCGTCGCAAAGACGCTGGCATACGGCTTTATTTCAATAATGTTGTCGTGAGGGTTCTCGACGGACTTTACAGTGGTTCGTCTGAATAAGTTCCTCAAATGAAGAGCGACATATAATGTTTTGGCGCCCGGAATGATGTCTTGGAAACGCTTTTCACAAAGCTTGTAGAACTTCGTTGAACTATCGACGTATTGTTCGACATGTGAACTGTCGGAATATGCCTGGAGAACCCTGCGACGCGGTACTATACTACATACAGGTTTCAAATCAAACGCTGAATCAAGCCTACAGAGCCTTCAAAGGGATCCTACTTTACAGAGGAGCCTGAATAAATACCAATACTGCTCCTCGCCGTTGCTTGGCCCAAATTATAGTAGAGCATTGCCGAAAAGCCTATTCCAATTATTAAGGCCCCTATATCACGACCCGTACAAGTGACTCGTACAGTAACGCCTCTCCTAGAAACCTTTTAGAGCACCCTTCTAGGATCCCTTGAAATGGAACCTTGATTTTATGTCCGCTTGATGTCGGCTCCAGCGAAGAGTCATCGAAGTGGCAAAAGTCCACGGAGAGGAAAACCAGAAGTGAGTCTCGTGGGCTTCGTTCTGGCGTACAGGATTTAATCAAGGGGTCGGAATGATTATTGTACGTATCCCGTTGTGCGCCCTATATATTTATGCATATACTCATACTATACCACGCCCTGAAACCGTATTCTAACTTAAGGCGCCTATATGATAAGGTTCATACTCTCAAGGCCGAGGTTTTTAGGGTCCAGGGCCTCATTGCTGCTGCGTACGGCTTGAGAGCTGCAGGTGGCAGTTTCCGAGAATTCGGGGTACCTTACTTTGGGTCCTTATAGTATAAGGATCCTACTATGTCCCCTATTTTCGGAAGCTCCCAGAATAGCACGAGGGTAATCAGAACATGGCGCGTAGACCGTGGCCGAGGCGCAACTGGCTACAAAAGACTCTGCAGATCCTTTGCCTTCTGTTACTTTGCATCTGGTTTTACGGGATGCCCGGGGATCCGCTGAACTTTGTCGACGAAGAAGCGATGTGGGACAGCATTTTCTCGCAGGACGCAGCTGTGGAGACGATTCCACAAGTTCTTGCAACGTATGATTCCAGGATTGGCGTCGTTCGTTCTCCTGCTCAGGCGCCATTGTCGCTGCTGATAATGTCCTTGGTCGTTGTTCTCGGTGTCCCATTTTTCGCTGAGAATATTGATGTGCTGTTGCCACGATGGCAAAGTGATTAATCTGGACTGTGTGGTCCGGTGCGATCCTGCCTCTACCCGTAGAGTTGAACGAGAAGGTGCAACTTGTTTGCAAGTAGCTCAGTAGCCAAGTTCCTTGCTGCAGTAGCAGCTCTGTTCCCGACTCGCGGTTGAAAGCCTGCGCTTTCCGAACTGCTGCGCAGGGTTTACTGGTGATGGCACCTGGCGGCCTGCAATCCAAAATCATTCGCCCAAGCCTTTCCCGTGCTTGGAGTTGTCTTCGGCGCTGGGTGCTAGTCAGCTCGAGTGTTTTGGTCGGTGTCTACAGGGATACCTGAATGACAGTGAGCCGCAACAAGGATGCAATCTTCAGTTATTTTTGAAACCACGTATTTTTGCATAGAAGTACACGCACACACACAACAAGACACCACGGATACATGAGACCACAAAATCTTAGTCTGTGCCCGACCCCTTGAATAACACATCGGCACACGTCTTGTCCCCCGAATGCAGCCGTGGGCTACAGTTCAGAGTTCCAGCTTTTCAGGCCGGTTCGCGGCAGGGTTTCGGAGCAGCTGGAAGAAGCAGTGCTTTTTGTTTTTGGTGGATCTTGAGAAATCTATGCATAACAATGAATCTTGAGACGCGTTTGGGTCTTTGGGTTTAGCAGCATACATACCCTGGGATATCACCCAGGCCCACTGTTTGGATATGGGTTTTATCGAGTTCGGGTTCACCCCTGTTTCTTTTGCGCCGAAGCAGATCTGAGTTTAGGGGTTTACGTGACATTAGAGGACTTCTTATCATGATTGCCTTGTGTACGTCGTTATGCAGCCATGTTTTTAGGGTCCAGGCAGGAACTATTTGCGCATCACAGGGTTCAATGTTCGTCTTCAGATTCGGTTCATCTCTGAGTATGGCGGTCTTTGCTAATTAAATAACGTACATTACTTTACTAGATATGGGAGTTTCCGAAAATAGGGGAGCCTAATATAGTACCCTAAATAGTAGGATCCTTATTATAAGGACTCCAAAATAAGGTACCCCTAATTTTCGGAAACCCCCATATACAGCATGAACCCTTATAAGCCCAAAAGACCTCTCAGCCCTGAAAGCCGCTTTGTCCGTAAGCTATGAGCACGTGGGCATTTGGGGTTTTCAGGGTAGAGAAAGGGCTTCGGGATTTACATTCCGGGTCTGGCTTGGGGCTTTAGGGGTTTCGGATCAGGGATCTTGGAGTGTCAGGGTTCATTCCCCACAGCCTTATAAGTCTCAAAATTCGTTAGAAAAGCTCACTCTGCTTTACGTAGTAGGAACGATACGAGGTCGGCCGTTAGTACACCCTGATGCCCTGATATTTCGGGCTTGCCTTCTCAACAGGAAGAGGGATGCCTTTACTCCATAACCTAGTAGAGCCCTCGAAGAACGTTTCAAAGATCCTAGCCCTGAACCCGAAGCCTCAACTAAGCTCCTAAAGACCCGCTTAGGTACCCCTCAGGAGCCGTAAAGAACCCCAATGCACGGAGCGGAACATCAAGAAACAGACCCAGAACCCTAAGCCTTAACCCTTTAAACCTTAAACCCTAAAACAACATCCCAAAACCTGTGTGAGAATCCTAGAAACCAGAAAGAAACCCTTTCAAGACTCGCAAAGGCCCGCCATAGAATCCGAGAAGCCCTACAATCAAAAAGCCCTACGCCAGTTGACACGGCCTTCACGGAGGTAGCTCGTGAGGATGGATTGGCAGAGCCCTCGAGTCCAGATGGGCAGTCAGTGCTCTAACATAACATGACTAGGTCTGTGAGTCTTTGAGTCTATGAGTCTATGAGGGTTTGGCATTGGGGATTATCGGGCTTTTAGTTAGGAGAGGCATTATTACTGACACGGGCTTGATCATGTTTGATTTTATCCAGGGGGTTGAACATTCACCCGAAGATGGCGCGACTCGGCTATTGTTGTTCGGGCCCTTGCGTCAGGGCGTCGGGATGTGGGCTTACGAACAGTCCATGCCAAACGTGCCTTTGCATGTTTTGGCTTGGCATCAGACAGTCTCACCTCAGTACGTTCCGCAGGACCTGCCAAAGAAAGCAAGCGTGAGCAGTTCCAGCTTGGGTCTTTGCCGGTTCCCATGGCTGCCAAGGAGTACTTGACCCTCTGCATGGAATGCTGGTCTCCTGGACTCTAGACTTATACAGAAAGCTGAAAGGTCTTGCTAAGTGATGGCCTCGCAGACGTGCGCTCGAATCTCGGGGAGTTCAAAAACTAGCAATCCCACCGCATGAAACCCTCACGAGGACGTTCAACGAAGGTTTGAGAACTCTTATAGACCTAGAAAGACTGCTAGAAGACCCGAGAGAGCCAGATAGCGTCTAGCCAACAGCGACACCTATGCCAAAGCTTTCGAAGACTACTTCCAATTCATATTACAATTACAGCCTAATGTGCCCCAAATCCGATATATTCTAAGTTCTAAGGTCCCTATATCACTTCAAGACTTACCTTTGGTTAGTGGGGAATGGAAGAATGGAAGTATTAGTAGTTATAATTGTACCCCATTCCTCCATTCCCTACTAACCCTAAACCCTAAACCCTATAGATCCCTTAAAGGATCCCTTTAAAGGAACCCATTACTACCCAAAGGTAAGAAGAATGCCTTGATGCACCGCCCAAGGCGTCGAGTGAAGACCTGAAGGCAGCTCTTGGCTCATCAGCGCTTTGTCGTCTAGCGTCTAGAGATGCGTAAACTAGGTAGGGCTTTGGGACATTTTGTATTTTCCCTTATTGGGCTTACGAGGATCTTATTTACTAATATCTTTGTCATGGTTGGGTAACATTTCTCATGTTCATGGGTACTTAAACCCAATAAGAAATAGACGTTTAAGTTTTTAATCCTATTCCAACCATGAACTAGAGGTTACTGAGTCATGGGCCTAGAGCTTGCCAAAGAACTTACCTACATAGTCATTTACTTCGTTTTTGTGAGCTCGGACTTTAAGTCTCATCTTGATCTGTAGAGTTTGGTATTGTACTACAGGAGACTACGTGGCACCAATTGGGGTTTGTGTTTTACCTTTCCCTATCTGGGGCAACTCCGAAAATTCAAAGCCTCAACCCCAGCACTCCGAAGACCCCTGCAACCTCAAACACCTAAACTCTAAGCCGGACTTGCAAACTCCTTCAACCCGAGCGTTCAGCCCCAAAACCCTAAGAAGCCTTCAGACGCCAAAGCAGACGTCCGAAATCTAAAAGCCCATGAAACCCAAATCCCCAAACACTAAACCCCCCTGAACCCTAAATCCTGTAAACCCTCTAAACCCCATAAACCCAAAGCCATGGCCACCGTGGTCGTAGCTCCTGCGCTCTCGGCGCCTCCCTCTTTGAAATCGGGAAGCTGTGAGCTGCAGCTGCTACCATCAGGCGTTTCAGGTTCTAGCTTCAGGGCTGTTCGGGTTTCTAGAAGGGCCCTGTTTGGGTTCTGCAATCAGGGATCTATCGGGGGCAAGTCCTTACGGCGGTTTCATGATATGTGTTTAAGGTTTAGGATTTATAAGGCGTTTAAACTCGGTTTGACCACGTGGAGTCTAATGTTCGGGCTTAAGGCTTGGAGGCCTCGAAGACTCATGCCCTGGAACGACGAGTCCTACAGCCGTGGGCTCTCTAGAACCTCAAAAGGAAGCTTCGTAAAGCCCCAGAGAACCACCGCGGCATTTTGTTTAGCCCATTGGAACCCTTCATATTGCCAGTATAGAATGGCCAAATGCAGTAAACCCCAACCCCATGAAACCCCTGTATGGTGTCCCTGCTAGTACCCCTAGCGAGAACCCAGACGCAGGCTGGTTGTACCAGCTGCCGCCCTTGACTTTGCAGTCTACACCGCCCGAGGCATGCGCCGCTGTAGGGTCTCGGACGATTTGTCGTATTTGTTGCTGGTCGGGTGTAAGTTTCATAAGGGTCTTAAAGGCTTCTAGACAAGGGTTGAGAAGATTTTCAAAGGGCTTTTGCAGGAATATTTCTGGGTTCAGGGCGTTGAGAGAGCGGACTACAGTAGAGACGGGATATTCAGTGCGGTATCGTGTTTACGTTTTTGTTCTTGCTGAAGGCATCGCTGTTTTGGGGCGGCCCGCAGTTTCGGCTAAGGTCGAAGCGGGTTCAGTGTTGTTGGGGTTTCGTGGTGTTGAGTCTATCTAACCAGAGGCCTCATTTGCTTTACAATTTTCTACTTATATATATACATAATTATGAACCGCAAGAAGACACTACTTTGGGGCCTCTATATATATATATATATATATATATATATATATGTATATATATATATATATATATATATATATGCTCGCCCCCCCCCGTTGACAGACCATGGCCTTGTGACACTGTACTCTTGGCAGGTGACTCGGCTGAGATATTGTATCTAAACACACCACACCCGCTGATGATCTGTAAAGTAAGACCTTTATAGTAGATACACAATGTGTACTTTGACATGCCATGTACTGAGGACGCATGCACCAGACGTGCGGCACATGAGTTGCGTAATAGTTGTGTGGTAGTATCGGTATTAGATGAGTATTATTACTAATATTAGTACTATTGTTTGCTGTAAGTATGCATATCAATATTAGTAACTATAAATTAGTGTTAGTGCTCATGTTCGTGTTAGAGTTTGCGCTAGTGCCAGTGTCAATGTCAGCAATACAGCACCACTGCTACTAGTGGTATCAGTATCAGTCTTAATGCTGGGTTTAATAGCAGCTTATATTCGCAGAAGTGCTAGTATTAGTATCAATATTAGAACTAGTTAGTGTTGATATGTTAGTATATTGATAGTCTCGTATGTTGGAAGGGCATGGTCTGTCAACGGGGGGGGGCGACCATATATGATCCCGGTTCTCGGTTCACCCCCCCCCCCCCCCCCCCCACCCCCAATGGTATCCCCCCCGCCCCCCCCCCACGCTCCCCAAGCCGAATCTGTGTGTGCACACGCCAAGCAGACCCACGCAGGAAACCCAAACCACACCGCACCACAGGGGGGAGTGGG